GGAAAACAAGTGACGGATTTCCTAAGTTAACTTGGAAATAAAGTTAATTTTCATATCAGCAGGCTTCCAAGCAGTTATTTTGATTATAGTTTGAAAATGTGATAAGGTGCTTCTACTTTCTTCCATAAATATGAGTTTGTATGTGTAAATAATCCAGATGTAAGGGATGAAGACAATTTACGTAAGTTCTTAATGAATTCTGATCAGCCTTTAATGAAGCCCATGAATCATCCTGAAGCATTCAAATGTAATTGCTTCTTGAATCTGTTGCCGCTTCTGAGCTACGTTATTGTTGATCGAAAATTAAAGAGGGTTTCTATGACTTTCATCCCTCTCAGTTGATGCCATTTATTTCCTCTTTTCCAATCCACTGGACATGGACATTGACGAGGCAGTGTTCTGTCAGATGACAACCAACATGACGTGGGATCTGAGAGAGCTGTGCATGAGAAAAGCATTCAGTGATGACAATCTTGGAAGCTTGTTTCATGTCATCACCCTTAAGGACTTTGTGGATGACAGAAAAAAATCAGTCCTTGTCCTCAAGAAGCTAACAATTTACTTGCAGAGCCATGACTAACACGATTGAAAAAAAAAGACATACATGTTGAAGATTAGACAGTAGATGTGAAGTATAGACTCCCTCAGGGTGCAGAGGAGAGAGGAGGAGGTTTTGGGCCAAAAGAGCCAGGACTGACTTCTTAGAATGTCTATGGCTTGAAAAGCATCAAAAATAGACTGAGTTGTACTAGGAATAAGGAAGGAACTGGCTTTCTGTTAGGTGTCCCAGGAGGGGCAGGGAACACGAGCGTGAGAGATCGTGCCCCACACTGTTGAACCTGATGAGGGGTCTTGCCTGTGCACCTGCACACACACACACACACAGGCACACCGATTTAAAGGAATAAACTATTTTACCTCAATTAGTGGTTCTTAATGGAATCTCTGCTGCCCTTTATGGGGCATTTTGGAAATTTACAGGCAGAGTTCTATTCTTTACCCTATTGGAGGGTGAAATAAGCTGGGACGCTGGACAACCTGCATTGTGAAGGAGAGTCCAGTACATCAAAATTTGGGCTCATGTCCCCAAACTCTGAGACCCTCTGTCAAGGAGAAGCCTTCTTACAACCACCTAAACCCAGAACTTAGCTCCATGTTTCTTTTATCCAAGATAAATAATTTTCCCGTGGTTTTAACTTACAATAAAACTATCATGTAATTTGAGAAAAGACTACTCATTATTTCATTGAGAACCTTAGCACATGTTGCTAATGTTTTTGGAAAATGATACCTCCAATTTCAACAACACTCTAGTACTTTGTTTGTCAATAGAACATATTCCTGTCTGGCTGCCTGTCTGTCAGGCCCATCCGTGACAATCCCACATAGAGCTGCAGGCATCTGACAATTTCATCCCTTTTTTTACTGTAGAACTCAGGGATCGGTTACAAGGGAAATGCATGTCAGTTCCATGGTAATTGTTCTGAGGCTTCAGGGAGAGGAGATGGGCTTCCAGTCACTGCCACCTGTGAGGGACACAGTCTAAAGGCACAGTGCAAGACTGTCTGTGGCTCTTTTTGAGTTCTGCTCCGTAAGCGTGCTCCTCATACAACTGCAGTAGCCTCACCTGAGTTTGAGCCTGTGGGAGCGCTGTGGCTGAGGATACTTCACCTGCCCTTTTCTCCACTTTCCAGAGGCAGATTCTCATTCCACATGCAGAGCAGAAGCATTTGTTTGATGACATTTTATGGGGGTTTGGTGATATTGGTATCTATCTCTAACTCTATCACCTATCTATTTATCATCTATCTACTATATCATCTATCTATCTATCTATATCTATCAACTATCATCATCCTCCTCTACCTATCATCTATCTACCATCTATCATCTATCTATATCTATTATCTATTTATGTATCATCATCTATCATCACCATCATCATTATTACCCATCTCTATCATCTATCTATCATCTATATATCTATCGTCTATATATCCATCATCTAAATATCTACCTATGTCTAAACCTATCTAGACCTAGATATCTATCTAGATTTAGATCTATCTAGAGCCAACTATATCTAAATATCTAGCTAGATCTAGATATATCTATCCATCCATTGTCTATATCTCTCTATCTTTTTCTATCTTTGCCTCATATTTAAAAGTTGAAGTTTTTTGTGTCTCTCCCCTTCCTTTCCATCTTTTTCAATTTAAAGTTGCCCCTTTAAGTAGACTAACCTTTTTCAAAAGTAATGATTTCTGTTTTTTATTTCATTTCAATATTTTTACATTTGATGAGAGTCATACACATGTTCTCTCACACACAATTAAGCATTTTTTGTTCTTTTTTTTACCTCCATAATTCAAAGAGATAGTTAATCAAAGAAAGTCGTACTTTAAGTAGTAAAAGCCGGCACATGCCTCTTGAGCATCCTAGTTGTACAGAACGCTGGCTCTGCTGGAGCATTTTTTTCTCCATATATGACCCCGGGACTTCCCTCCACATTGCTGCTGCATAATTAAAACACAATTTCCCTGCAGTGCTGAGGATGATGCTCTTTATTTTTTTCATGCAGGTGTAAACTGCACACTGGAATTAAAAGATTCAGTACAAAATATAATGCAAAATACCTCATTAATATTTTTAGATTGAATACACAATGAAATGATTATCTTCTGGACATATTGGCTTACATAAAATATATGATTAAAATTATTTTCCCCTGTTTCTGTTTACTTTTCTCATGCGCCTACTAGATAATTTAACCGACACGGGTGGTTCCCATTCTGTCTCTGCTGGATGGCACTGCACTTGGGCTTTGCAGGCCAGGTTAAAAATTGGTTCATTCTTTGTAAATCTGAAGATGATGGGGTATGTTTGAAGGGTTTTGAGCGGAGGAGTGATGTGGTAAGTCTTACCTTTGAAAGCCATCACTCTGGCTGCTGTGGGGAGAATACCTTGAGTGAGGGATTAGGCCAAAGTCAACGCAGAGCAACTGGCCAGGAGGCCATTGCAGTACTGCAAACAGAAGAGCTGGCAGCGTCGACAAGGCGGGTAGGGAGTCAGGTCTTGAGACTTGGGATTCATAACGAGGATATTGTTTTGAAGGATTTAGCATTTCTATGAAGCTTTACACTTTACAAAATATTCCCCACGCTCTTTATATTTTAATCCAGAGGGCATCCGTTGTACCACTTCTAATCTTTTCTCACAAGGTCTCCAAGCTGTCAGGTCTCCTTCCTTTGAGTATCATCAAAAAATTCTGCTTAAACCAATGGCCACCTACCACCGTCTCCTGCCCCAGGGCCTTTGCATGTATGGTTATCTCTATCCAAAGTGCTCTTTTCCACCCGACCCTTTCCAATCAGCTGATTTCTGTGCATAACTGATAGATCTACTCAAGCATAATTTCCTTCCAGAGGACTTTCCAGCTACTCCTTCACTAAAGTGCTGATAGATTTTAAATATGCTCTTCTATAACCATTCCTTGTTTTAGAGATCTTATTGTCTTTGTATTTATGGAGATTTGAACAATACTTGCTTCCTTTACCAGTCAATAAGCCCCATGAAGACATGGATCATCAGCTGTTGCCCACCACTGTATCACTATTTCCTCTCGTGGGGCCTGTTACAGAGTTGGAGGTGAACGAGTAATCCTTGACTGACAAATAAATTAGTGAGTGAGGCAGTCACGTCTACTTTGGACACTCCATTTCAATACTGATGCACCTGATGGCAGTTATTTTCTGTAATGGACACAAGTAAAGGAAATAGGAAAATCTACTGAAGTCAGTGTAGCAAATTTCATCTAATTTCAGCTATGCCATGAAAGTGACGCCCTTTAGTAGTCATCTTCCCTAGCTCCAGCATGCTAATTTTAAGATGTTACCCACTAAGGGTTTTATACAGAAATGGGGATGCTTTTTCATATTCTGATGATCATCTCTTTGTGCCCTGCGTCTCGTCTGATAGAAGAACAGGGAAATATGTTGTTTAGCAGAAGAGCATAACAATGTCTTCTGAACACCTTTAGGTTTATTGAATGAATCCTGGGGAAATCTTAGGCTGAATCGATAGGGTGCCTCATTTGGGATTAGAGGATCCTGCTTTGGGGAGCTTGTCAGCAAGTAGGTCATTGGTACGATGCAGAAAAAGAATACTTACTTACCTTTTCCAGATGTGTTTTATTTTACATCTAATCTTTACCTTCTCATAAGCTATAGGTCCTTGTCCTGCGTACCCATAATGTTACCAGCACAGTGATATAGAGAACAAGGTCTCTGTTGCATTATCCTGGATGGCATTATCTTTCTTGTGATTTTTTTGGATCCTCTTCTATTTATGGATGCCAAAGAGCACCTGAATGCATTTAGTGACTTTCATTAGCAGTACTTTGGTGTCTGGTAACTGAAATGGATGGTCCTGGGAGGCACAATTCATCACATTGTCTTATGTGAATAGGCAAAGGCAGCAGAGGGCACACACAGGTGCTGGCGGCAAAGATTCTATTGCTATGGTGAGCTGCAAATAACTTTCGAAGACTTAAATTGAAAATATGTGGAAATTCTACTCACTGTATGTAATTACCTCTATCACAATCTAATATCTCTTTCTTATCTCATAAGTTGGTTTAATAAGTGCTGACAATAAATTGCTCTAGTATAACTTTGATTGACAGCAGTTTTGGACATTTTTGTTTGGAAGTGCCCGAACCTGAATGAGCTTTTTAATCAAGAGAAGTTGAGAATGCCTTTGGGCTTCCGTAAACTCCTGCTAGTGGAGAAGAAAAAGCGTTGGAGGCATCCAGGGCTCTCTTCACACCTTCTCCTTTATCCTCTTTGCATGTCTTCTCCATTCTGGCATTTGTTGGTGGGCGAGCGAGAGACCTCCCAGCCCGCAAGCTTCTGTTAAACTTCCACCGTTGCAGGTGATGAAAGAAGGAGCCTGCCTCTTGCTTCTCTCTGTCTCTCAGTCTCTCTTCCTCTCAATTCCAGGTTTGCAGCAGATGGATTCCGAGTGGCCCAGCTTGGTCAAGAGGACTACCCTGTTCTGATCACTTAAGGTACTTTACACAAAGTGGCTACGGGAGCATCTCTGCTCGGCTGGGTGAGGGCAGAGAAGGGGTATTGCTGACATGGGAGATACTTCAAAAAGGCTGATATAGAACAATTTATAGTATCCTAATTTGTTTCAGACATAAAAAGGGTCTTAGAAAGCAGAGAGATCAGAAAATTTAAAAGCCTCATTAGACAGCTAAGGAAATTTGGATGATGAAAGACTAAATGACTTTTTCAAGACTGCAAGATTACATGGTTTTGCATCTACTCAAGAAATACTAAGTAGTTGCTGTGTGTTAGGCATTGTGCATGGTGTTGGGGACACAAAGATAAATATGACATTATCCCTGATCTCAACGATCTGTTGGGCTATTACAGGATTTATGTTTCTATGTCTCTCTCTCTGTCTTTCTATCTATCTGTGTATCTATCTATAATCTATCTGTACTATCTATCATTTATCTTATCATCTATTGTCTATCTATTAAGTATCTATCACCTATCTATTTATATCGACCTGTCTCTATCCACTCTCTACTCTCTTTGTAGCCAAATAAGGCAAGGCTGTTGAATGAAGGCAGAGATGGGGAAGACTAAGCTGTGAAGCCTGGAATAAGTCACTAGCAAAATATCATCAAATACTGTGTAGTTTTTGTTTGTTTACTATTCTGTCCTCAGGCACAGTTAATGTCAGAGAGCTCGTTCTGACTGACATTAGACCTCTTTAACTTGGGCTATTTTCTTTCTGCCGCTTTCAATCACATCCTAGTGTCATGGTCACTTTATACAGTTTCATGTGAAAAGTCATAGACTGATACTGGATTATTTATATTTGATGAGGAAAGAGAGAATTTGTGGATTAAAATTTTTAGGTTATCAGTATCTGGACAAACACTGAATGCATTATTGAAAATACGTAGGGAGATGCGATTCTAGTCTACAAATTCAAGGGTGCAAGAAATACCGCATTGCATGATTTTTGTCTTAAATCCAGTTCTGAGCCTTCACCTCACTGATGACGGACTCCTGCATGCTCTGTCTGAGAGTCTGACAAAGCCGCAGAGCAAGAAACAGGCAGAGAGCAGGGAGTCCCTCTGCCCTTAGACTGACGTCCTGCCTGGTTCTGCTGAGGTCTGTGCAGGAGTCAGCCCAGGGTCTGCTTTTCCCAGTGGTAGGCCACACGTCCCCTGGGAGGTGACACGGCCTTTCCTCCTTCCTCCGGCTGCCCACAAAGACTCTGCCCTCAAAAACAGAACTGGAATGATGAGGTTAGGTTAGGTTTTTACACTAGAGGGAGAGAATCTCCAGAAACACTGCAGAAATCTTGAAGGCAAAGAACTAAGATGTCCTGATTAAATCAGAGAAGAAAGGCAGTAAACAAAATACAAATTGTTGTCTCAAAAATATTCAGTGACAAATGTAAAATCCAGTGTCCTAATGCATAAATTCATGGTCGCTTGGAAATGATTGAAATTACAGTAGACATCTTTGGTCCACATCAATAAGTAAGGGTCAATAATAAAATTTGAAAGAGAGAAATGAATTTCTCAATCAGTTTCTCTTATGATCAACATTAAAATTTCCTTCTCTCCTCCCTCCCTTCTTTTTTCTGCTTTTATCTTTCTTTCTCTTCTTTTTTTAGCAATGGTAAAGTCTATAATTTTTGCTTCAGCCTTTGACTTTAAACTATATCTGACCCAACTCATTTAGCATGTGACCGGTGGCCAATTAAAAATCAGTTCTTGAAAAGCTGTGGCCACTCCAGGCAGGTTCGCTACAATTATCTCCTGGCTTCCTGCTGGTGCTCTCTCCAGGGCATCTCTGTTTTCTTCTTGTTTCTGGCTTTTTTTTCCCAGTTGTATTGAGAAATAGTGGACATCCATCACGGTTGAAGACATACAACGTGGTGGTCTGCTTTACATGCACTGTGAAATGATGGCCACAGTAGGTTCAGCTGACATCCATCACATTGCATCTGTCACTGTTCCAGGCTCTACACTCACCCTTCAGATTCAGCAGATTCCAGTGTTTCCTGATCAGCCCTGACATGGATGTGGCTTGGGCTCACCTTTCACGTTGCCGTGACCCACTTCTGGTTGCTTTTGGGGCTCCATCTTGACATCCCCAGCTCCCAGACTGACCGTTTCCTACTCTGAGGGTTGGAGTGAGATATGGGACAGGGACGTGGGGGCCCAGATGAGGGGTTGGAAGGGGAAATGGAGCAGAGCTGATAATGAATAAATTGGGAGTGAAGTGGGGAAGAAAGTTTGCAAACTGGTGATGATTTTTACTGCTCCTATCAGCTGATTAAAACTCCTAGCCCGTCTCTCCAGGGCTCAGTCCTTTTGCTGAAGGATTTGCATTCCTCTGACAATCCATCTGAAGGGCATAAATTATGATTTCTGTTTGTTTCTCCCACAGTGACCATACAGACTATCACTGATGCGGCTTAATTAATAAATATTGTTGGAACAACTGATTTGTTAAATAAGTAAAGGAAAATATTTATATCCATTCTCATGGCCACTCCAACTGAAATCAGCAAAATCTTTATTCAAGAATGCAAAACAGCTTGCTTTTTATTGTGTGTGGGGGGAGGGGTGCAAATTTCCAAATCACTCTAGGGTGTATTAAGATAATGAAAAATATGGACTGGTTTGATATTGAAGGATTTTTTATCGTTTAATATGTGAAATTTCTTTTTTTCAAGCTTTTCATCTGTAGAAAGACAATGCTAAGTTTTATGTGTATAATACCACACTCTAGCATAATATGTAATTATATATAATGTATATACTATATATATGTGTGTGTATTTTATAAGCAAATTCTACTCCTCTTTTTAATTTTTTTAAAGATTGGCACCGGAGCTAACATCTGCTGCCAATGTTTTTGTTTGCTTTTCTTCTTTCTCTCCCCAAAGCCCCCCACTACACAGTTGTATATTCTAGTTGTAGGTCCTTCTGGTTATGTCATGTGGGATGCTGCCCCAGCATGGCCTGACGAGCCGTGCTATGTTGGCACCCATGATCTGAACCAGAGAAACCCTGGGCCACCAAAGTGGAGTGCCCAAACTTAACCATTGGGCCACGGGGCCAGCCTCCCTACTCCTCATTTTTACTTCTCCGTTTACCAGCTTAGGAACTGAACTCAGGCAGACTGCAGACTGCCCCTCCTCAGTCCTCCACTGTCTGGAATTCAAGGCTTTTAGCAAAGCCTCCTCTTAGAAATTCTTTTTGATATCCCACTCTAATGAGCCCCAGTGGCCTTCTTACAAAGTGATCTCTATTAGTACATGAGCAAGGTAAGAATTAGACAGCTGACCCTCTGGGCCTGGGGTCACTCTGAAGGGCGGCCTTAGAGAGAGACCAGCTCTGCCCTTGGCCCCATCAGAGGTCCCAGGGCTGGTCGTTTCTGCCCTGCTGGCTGTGCAGACTGTGGTGAGAGTCTTCTAAATGTCCTGTGATCACACTCACTGGGTGAGTCAGTTTGCACCAAGGCTGCGCATTGTTTCTCCTTCGAGCCCTCTCTCCACCGTTGCAGCCTCCTGCTGATACACACTCATGCCTGCTCAACCTTGCGGACTGCCCACAACATCCCTGGAGTCCTGTCTGAGCTCTCGGGCCTTCCTAGGTTGGCCCATGCCCCCAAGCCCGGCTCAGTTTCCACCTGCAAACAGAGACGTCTGAGATTGCTTTGGCTGGAGCGAGTCTCCCCTGTTTATTCCTGGAGCAGCTGGCACTTGCTGCTCTGACACCCTCAGGGGAAAGAGACTCTGGCGTGTTTTTATGTTCTCCACATTGTGACGGTGGCTTTGACACTTGACAGCTGGGAACAGACAATAGAAACTCAAATCAATCCACTTGTGCTGAGTGTTGGCTACCACATAGGTCTGCACCATGCCTTTGGGAAGCAGGAGACTTTGTCCGGGCCGCATATGAAGGCCAAAAATGAAAATAAGCAGAGCAATTTCAAGATGGGGAATTTTTTTCTCTTGTTTTTCTGGAACTGAATTAAGGCCTGTCTTACCAGAGAAGCAAGATAATCAATAAAATTTTATTTTAAATATTCCTGCCAGCTAAAGCAATGTTTAGTATTAAATTATATGGGAAATAAATTGTAAATTAAAAAAAAAAAGCAGTCTCTGAGAGAGAGGTACAAAAGGACCTTGTAATTACCTTTTATCTAGGAAAATAAACCCCTGAACAGAGTGAATTTTTAAATTAGTTTGCTCATTAAGAATGCATCTTACTTGAAAGCTGGCATTATCTCTTTAATTAAAATGAAACTGATTTTTTGATGATATCTAAGCCAAATCATTGTGAAATGTTGGATGAAACTGATGAATTTCTCTACAAAAAAAAGATTTGGATATTTGATATCTTGTTGGCTTAACACAATCTGTTTAAGAAATATTTTTCTTGACGTACTCAAACAGTATATTTGAATATATTGAATGACGACTGGAGCAGGTCTTCCATGTGGGCTCTGACTTCACAATGTTTCTTGACAAGAAGGCAAGTCAACCCAAGCAAGTGTAGGATGCCACCTGCAGCAACACCAAGTGTTGTATGGTTTCGAAACTGCTGTTCGTCCCTGCAGCGTCAGGCTGGGAGAAGGAGCACACGTTTCCACTTAAAAGTGAGGAAGGCGGACCAGGGAAATGTCCATCCATTTGCCCGACATCCCAGGCTGTGTGGAGGCCGAGCCCAGAACAGCAGGTGGGCTTCCCAGACAGTGACAAGCTCCACCTGGTCCAAGAGACCAACTCTCGACCCCATTCAGCCATCCCAAAGGAAAAAAAACCCCAAACTAAAAGAAAAAAAAAGCCTGGTCAATATTCTGGATTGATTTCTACAACATGGTTACTATCACTTGAAGGCTTCAAATTCAAAATGACACTTGTGGTTACAGTATTTACTGATTTCTGTAATTTTGAGAAATATCTAAAATTTCCACAATTTTGGGTGGATTCTGTATATGTCATTAGATTGTGTCACCTTTGGCCATTAACACATATAAAATAATTGGCTTAATTTTCATCGACCACATGTTTTGTACACGTGAATATTCACTGGGAAGAAATACATTTCCTTCTGCCAATCACACTGATGGGAATTTAAAAGTAAAGGTGGAGTTTATTATACACATACAGTTTTATTTTCAGAAAAATTATCAGATTCATTAGCATAAATAAAACATATTACTTTAAGTGCTAAAGCTGCCTTATCCCAGAGATGTAGGAAACAAATAATCCAGAAATGTTAATTCTGTATCTTCTACATTCTTATCAACATACTCTCGAGGCAAATGCAGCAGAAAGCTTATAAAAGGTTACTGATCACTTTTTAATCAAAAGAGCTGCCCAGATTGATAATAGCTCTGAAAAAAAAATCCACAACTTTAATGTCCTTCAGACTGTGTCTATGAAATGCGAACGTTGCTCTCAGCTACACGGAACCAAAATCCCCTCTCTCCATGTGTAATATTTTAACACAAAATAAAGAAAATCAGGGGCTACTGGATCCTGAAAAAAATGGCAATCTAGCTCCAGGTGCTGGCTTTTTCCTCCTCAAAGTCAGATTGAAAGTAATAATAAACGAGGAAGGAAAGCATGAAGAAGCCGAGAAGTTAACAAAAAATGAACGTGAGAAACCTCGGGTGTGCTGGAGCCCATTGTGCAGCGGTTGAGATGAGGGAGGGTTTGGAGGAACTCTTGTGCACCTGCCGCTCTTCCCCTCTTCTGAGCTGCTTTCAGACAGCCACCGTCAGCTCCTTTCTGGAAGGAAGCGGTGGCCCCGGAGCTGGTCAGGCGTCTCTGCCCTGGGGTTGACGTCGGGCAGCACAGAAGCCCTGCTGAGTGAGGCTTCCTGAAAACAGGGGTGGGCAGACATAGAGAAACAATAATCGGATGGAGGACTGTTCTTAACAGCAACATTGGGTGGAAGAGGTCATTAGAGAATATTTCTGAGTGTTAAGAAAAACAACTTGCAGTTCAAGTTTTATCCAACAAATGGTTTTGGAAGTGTGACAATGCAATAAGTATTTTTGGACCTACAAAGCCTCAGAAATTTTACTGCATAAGGACACATATTGAAAATGTATTCACAAGAAGCCCCTTGATGAGAACTACCGAAGAATGGAGAGAATTAAATCCGTGTGAGATTTATGTGGACCGTCCTTCCATGAGCTCGTTTGCCATCTGTATTCTTGTCCTTTGTGCGATATGTCATGGGTGGATATTCTCTCCTAGTCTGTAGCTGGTCATATCTTTCCTTTCCCAAGGTCTTTTGTAAGACAATTTTTAATTTTGATGGAGTCCAAGTGATTAATTTTTCCATTATGGATTTTGCTTTTGGTTTCAGGTGTAAGATCTTTGTCTTTCCTTAGCTGCTGAAGAGTTTCTCCTATTTTTTCCCCAAAAGTTTTATATTTTCAATCTCATACTTAAATCTGTGATCCATTGTGAATTAATTTTGAATGGGATGTGAGATTTAGGTTGAGGTTCATTTTTTGCTTAAGTATGTCCAATTGCTCCAGCATCATTTATTGAAAAAATCTATCCTTCCATTGAATTAAATTCTATTGAGCTGCTTTGGCATCTTTGTCAAAGAGAAGTTGAGCACATCTGTGTGGGTCTGTTTCTGTGTTCCCCACTCTGCTCTGTTGCTCTGTGCATCTATCCCTGCCCAGCACCCTTACCTGTACTGTGGCAACATAGTAAGCCTAGCAGTTAGGGCAATTCCTCTTACCTTGTTCTTCTTTGTCAAGGTTAAGACTGTCTATGATTTTCTATGCAAACTCTATCTAGAAAACTTTATAATAAGTTTTAATATGATATAAGTTTATAATGGTGTAATACGTTTATAATATAAAGTTTAGATTAAGCTTATCTATGTCGATAAGAAAACCTTTTTGGGATTTTGACAGGAAGTTGGTTAACCTATAGATCAACTGAGGAGAACTGTCATCTTAATCTGTTGATTCTCACCATTTATTTTGGCCCTCTTTGATTTTTTCATCAGCATTTTTAATTTTCACCTTACAGATATTCTGCATGTTTGGCAAGTTTTTACCTATAAATTTATTTACTTTGGAGTGATTATAAATGATATTGTGTTTCTAATTTTGGTTTCCACATATTTATTGTTAACATATAAAGATGCAATTTTCTTTTCTGTGTTCATCTTGTATTCTGCAACCTTGCTCAACTCACTTATTAGTTCTTATTCTTTCTTTTTTTAGATTCCCTAGAATTTTCTATGACAATCATGTCATCTACAAATAGAGACAGCTTTATGCAATCCTTTTCAATCTATGGATATTTTATTTCCTTTTCTTGCCTTATTTCAATGACTGGGACTTCTAGTACTACATTGAATATGAATGATGAGAGCAGACATCCTTGCCTTGTTCCCAATATTAGGGATGAAATATTCAGTCTCTCACTCTTAAGCGTGATGTCAGCTATAGTTTTTTTTTTAATAAATTATTTTATAGATACTCTTTAACAAGCTGAAGTATTTTTCCTCTATTCCTAACTTGCTTTTAATCATGATTGGTGTTGGAATTTGTCCAATATTTCTTCTGCATTCTCACCCGGGTCCATAAGAAAGCACATGTATGGGTGTTGATTACAGCATTATTTGTTGTGATGGGGAATCAGGGGTAAGGGATGCCTCTATCACTAGAGAGCAGATTGCTAAAATGTGGCAGATCTGTACCATGGAATTCTAAGCAACTGTTAGAGGAGATGGACTGTATGTGTGCATAGCAATAAGAGCAGAACTCAGGGCTGAGGGAAAATAAAGTAAGCAATGTGATATGTAACAATAGTACTTATATAATTCAGAAGATTTGCAGACAATCTATTATACATTTTCCAATATCTCTTACAAAGAGCATCAACAGCCCCTAAAATAAACACATTGTGATGAAGGTGGGGGCGGGTTAATGTGACTGGGAAATGGGACCTTTGGTTTACGGTGGGCAAGTTCATTCTGCAATGCAAACAGATTCAAAATCTCAATGATTCGCAGCTTTTTCTCACTCACGTTGCATTTCCATTATGGGTCAGCCGTGGCTTCACTCCAGGTCATCTGCTCTTCAAAGACCAGCTGGCAGAGCAGCCTTTATCTGGTGCTTTGAGGAAGAAATATGATGGTTTGTTGCCTGCTGGCTCCACACAGGTGTGATGTCCATGCATGTACCATGTCCAATTCCGTGATCTCAAGTGAGTGAAGTGGCATCACCCTTCAGGCAGGGCAGAAAATATTTGGGATCAGTAATACAGCCTTGGGGGGCGGGTAAGTCAGTGCACATTAGAGGGTCTTAACCAGAGCGATGGGTTTGGTAATGTGCCATTGCCCCATTAATGGAGGAGTATGACTAACTCCATCTTGGACCTAAGGTCATGTAAAGAAAGAGAGAGGGACCATCTCACATCTCACAGGACGGGAAGTTAGACAGATTAATCTGAACCAATTTAATACAATAAATAATGTTAGATTGAAGTGACCAAAATCTGATAGATATGAGTTTTAAAATTCCTGTAAACAATACATATCTCTTTTGAAATCTGGCTTTATGAGACAACAGTCCATTTTTGGTACTGAAGGCCAAGACAGGATCACAGTAATAAATACGGGGATAGATTCAGGGCATGGTTTGTGTTGACGCTGATCCACTGAGGATCTTCTCCGCCACAGCTGAATGACAGTCTTCCTTGCAGGTTATTGCTGTGTGACTAAAGCTGAAATGGGGAGAATTTTGACCAAATGTGGGAGAAGGCAAAGATTGAAACTCTTGCTGAAAAACTTCTCACTAGGATGCATTTTGAGAATATCCACCAATGCAGTCTTGGATGTGGTAAGGAGCTGTGGCATGCAGGTGAGTAGCAGAAGGTAGGCCAGCTTGCTAAGAGACGGGCCTAGTCTTCTCAAGCCAGCTGCCTTGTTAGCTTCAGAGATAATGTTCCAGGGCCAGAGACAACAGCAGGCTCCTATGCAACTGCTATTGCCATCGACCCATGGGCAGTCTCTCCATTAATGCTGCCAGTCCAGAATGGAGACGCTGGACATGCATTGGTCTTTGCTGCCAGACATGTAGCAAGGCCAGCATCATGAACAGGGTCATCTTCAAGGACAGAGCCAGGTGACGGAGTCATCCTTTGTGGCAACCATGACAGTCAGGTAGGAATGGATCACTGTCTGCAAATCCCTCTGCAGCTACAGAATCGTGGTTTGGCTGAGAATGCAAACGCACCACCCTGTTCCTCCCAGCAGTAAGGAGTGTGTAATCAACACTGGAGTCAGACAGCGGGGAAATTGTGAATCCAAAATGTGTTATTCCTGGCTCCTCTCTCTTCTAGACAAAGCTCGCCTGGGCTTGCATCTGCTCAGACTCATTCCCACCATTCTGGGTCCTTCTTTACTTCGTTCAGAGTTCAGCTCTGCTAACATCATCAGGTGAGTTCTGCTGGAGTACTTCCAACCTGCTTGAGTAGGACTCCTCCTGAAGCTTACATGAAATCCCACTGCCTAGAAATCGCTCCTTGGCAGGAAGTGCCAGCACTGTGTGGAGACGCCTGGAAAGACATGCTCCCATTCTTGTTGCTCTGTGTTTGCGAGTGATCAGAGTGCTCTGAGTCACCTCTGCCTTATGGCTTCTTCTGCCACTCAGGGCAATCGTGCTGGGGCCAACCTTTCAACAGGGGGAATCCCAGCCATAGATAAGGATCGCACACCTGTGAGAAAAATTCTAGCGCCTTCCTAGAATTGTGGAGGAGAATTGGACCTCGTGCATTTTATATTGTGTTCAAAATAGTAACATTCTTAAGGTGACTCTATCTTCCTGTGGGACAGTAAATGACTGTTAAATTAAATTTTAAAATATGGATAGACCAATTAGCACTTGATAACTATTTTCCCAAAGATAGTAAATATCGTCTCAAAGACAGACGTGATTGATTTGTGTGTCCTAGTAAGTGAAATATAGATCAACTGGTAGAAGTTATTGGGAAGCATATTTTTTTCTTAGAAACACTTTGGAAAAGCCTGAGCTGGCCAAAGAAGAAACACAGGCTCAGAGGCAGCATCTCCTGCACAGGATGCGTTCCAGCAGAGGCTAAGTTAGCACTGGGTTGGATTGTAGTAAAATGGTTTAAAGGGTTTAAAGTATCAGATAAGAATTTTTTCTTTTTATGTCTATATGTGCATTTTTTTCTTTTTTGAGGAAGATTAGCCCTGAGCCAACATTTGCTACCAATCCTCCTCTTTTTGCTGAGGAAGACTGGCCCTGAGCTAACATTCATACCCATCTTCCTCTACTCTATATGTGGGACACCTGCCACAGCATGGCTTGATGAGCGTGCATAGCTCCATACCTGGGATCTGAACTGGCAAACCTGGAGCCACCGAAGCGGGATGTGCAAAGTTAACTGCTGGGCCACTGGGCCAGTCCCTCAGATAAGCATTTTGATTACATGATATTTATAGGTTTTGCAGTTTGTAAACGTCGCTTTCTTTCTTTGACAATCACAGTGTTGGCAAATGCATAGATGTCCGAACTTGCTACCCCATCTCCTTTGAATGTGCATTGCTCAGTGGAGTCTTGGGGTTTGTTGGTTTCTATTATCCAGTTATTGACAGATCCAAAGTGTTCAGTAGTCCTTCGACTGTGCATATCCCACAGAGCCAGTTCCTACATGGGCTAGTTACACCAGGAGCACAAATCGTAGCATTTCTACACTCCGCTCTCTAACTAAAGAATATTATGGGTCAAAAGGGATAAAGTTAATTGTGGATGAACATATTTAAATCTATCCTAATGAAAGGGAAAAAAGTAAAAAGTTAACCCAGGAAATTGTCAGCTGTGTAAGTTTTGTCATTCTGGTGGGGATACATTTTTGCATTTTAATTTGCATTTATCTCAAGACTGATAGCTTTGAGAACCCTGGCGTCCTATTAGCTGTTTGGAAAGCATCTTCTGGGAAGTGCTTGTATGTCTTATGCCCATTTTTAATCAGGTCTTTTATCCATTTTTTATCAATTTATAGGGATTATTCATATATTCAGGATACAAGTCATTTGTTGGGTAGATTGCTAGACTCTTCCGCATTCTGGCTTTTTTTTTCATTCTCTTTTCTGATTATTTTCTGATAAGCAGAAATTGTTAATTTTAATGTAGTCCAATTATCAATTTTTCAGTTTGTGTCACTTAAAATATCTGGCTGTTTCAATATTTTCTAACACCGCTCTACTTTCCATATTTAGCAGCAGGAACCATCTTTAACTGGAACTCCCATGTGTTGTAAGTGAAGGCACATAATTGAGTCACACCTTCGAAAAGCTGGCAGCATCTACTAAAACTAACCTTGTCAACACCCTAACACACAACCTCTCCACTGCTCTACCAATACTTAACAGAGATGGGTGTCTATAGTCACCCAAAGACACACAACTTGATGGCTGTAATAGCTTTGTTCACATTGGCACAAAGCTAGAAGAAATCCAAATGCCCACCAACTAGAGAATGGACAAATTAATTTGGGGATGTTCTTACAATGAAATACTACGCTGTGAGGAAAAGAAGGCAGCTACTGCTCCACCCAACAACATGGATGGGTCTCAAAAGCATTAAGGTGAGCAACAGAGGCCCAGCGCAAACACATAGGTGCTGTTTGATTCCATTTCTTAGAATTCAAAAACTGACAAAAATAGCGTGTGGCGATGGAGACGAGAAGAGTGGTTACCTTTAACGCAGACAAGTATCTACTGGTATTGGACAAAAGGGAGTCTTTTGGGGGTGGTGGAAATATTCTTTATCTTGATCTTGGTAGTGGTTCCAGAGGAAAAAACACGTGTAAAAATTTATCAAGCTTTACACTCAAGCTTTGTGAACTTGAATCATGTTAGTCATACCTAAACTAAGAATCAAAGAAAGCAATCTCAACAAGCACACCCTCCTATCATTCACAGTAATAACAGACTCAACACACCGGCAAGTTCACAGCTGAGGATGTCAAGCAGATGCTCAAAACGTGTATGCAAAGTTGTCAGATACGTTTTGGGTCACGTCGGTATATCCTCGAATATTTTAATTCAGTTGAAGTATATAGACTAGCAGTTGACTGCTCAGAAATTAAATCAACAGTAATGTCACCTTCACAATTTTTATGATAATACCTCTTTCTATGAGAAAATAAATTCCCCAAACAAAGTGATTTTTTCATTGAATTGACTTTGGCTTAAAGGGAAACCACACGAACAAAGTGGAGCGAGTAAACATGCGCTCTGGCCTCTAAAAAGGAATTATGACTTAATTACATGTTTTAATTGCCGCGGTTATAATTTGACTGTTGGAAAGCCTGGGATCTCTGCAAGGTCAGAGAAACGTGATAAAGGTACTCCTATTTTGACCTTTTTGAGGAAGCTAATTAGCTGAGCCTTATCAAATGCTATCACAACCACACTCTCTTAAAATGAATAAATCATTACACTCCCACTTTGAATGCAATTAGGAAAAGTATCTTACCCATTGACATTTTTCTCTAATATTGTATAATAGAGAATTTCAACATTTCTCCTATCTCAAGACTGTTTTTAAAACTTGCACTTGGGAGCTAACAAAGGGAGAGCTTCCTAATGAAACATAAACATGAGGTCTGCTCTGCATTTTCTGAGTTCCAAGTGGAAGAAGTCTGGGAATTAGAACAAAGCCCTGCCTGGTTCCTCTTTTCATTTTTAAGAAGAGTGATCCAGGGAATTGCTTTTGCTTTTACTAGAAAAGTTTGGGAACTTACCCAGGTGGTTAACTCCCTATTTTCAGAGAACAACTGTCTGATTTCTGACTTCTATATCATTTTCTGTGAAGTGCTCAAAGTTCTTGCTGCTCTAATCTGCTGCTGACTTTTAAACAAATGTCCTCTGAGGCTCAGGGAATGTTAGAGAGTGTTTGTTCCATCAAACGTGAGACCCAATGAAAAACATAACATTTGAATTTTAAATAGGTATTATTTACAAGATAAATAGAAAAATAACCCCGAGATGTTAATATTTTTTAATTTTAAGTGGGATTTCTAACTTTTCCAAGCAGTTTTGTTATGGATAGCTGTGGTTCTTTTAAAATGAAAAGAATGCCACCACTGAGTTACAGAACTCTCTCTCTTGAGTGTTGTGTTGAGAGTCAGCGATGGGAGAGCAGGGGTTTTTGGGAAAAGATCAGCTTGCACTAATTTTTTTAGATACTTATCAGATATCCAAGCAAAATGTCAGCTAGGCAGTTGGCCATAGTATTCTGGAGTCAAAATATGAGGGACAAGAAGTCTGAAAAAGTTAGTTTGAAAGTTTGGAAAATTGTAGGCAGACAGGGCTACAGACGTAACTTTGAAGGTGGTACTTTTGAGATTATCTTAGAGGAGATCACCAGGGAACCCTGTAGATACAAAAGAGAAGAATTATAAACCACAAAGTGATACATGTTCTGTGCTCACACTTAACACCTTTTGTAGCAAAAGAAAAGCAGAACGAAAATAAAAGCCTCAGCTTGGGTAAAATATTTGCAAAGTTTGTAGCTACAGATGTATTTTTCCTTGTAAACGATAAAGCACTATATTTATAATTATGACAAGCCGTGCACACTTTCACGCTCTGGCTCTCTCCGTTAGTCTACAGCAGCTCCTGTCTCTTAAAGGACCCAGGTTAAATCTGCTGGCAGCAGATCCAGCCTCCTTGGTCCTCTGGCATGCCACGCCAAGCCCTGCTGCTGCTGCTAGCCTCAGAGAAAAACTGCTGCAAGGTCATCAGCATTAAGACACGGTCAGCATCTTCCGAGGAGCACCGTCTAAGATGGGGTTTCTCTTCCGGTTTCCACAGGATCCCAGCGGTAGCTTCAGGTCTGTTGTTCAGAATCAAAACAGAACACATGACTGGACTGATCACAGAGCTTCGTGTGGCCAGACTTTTCTGTCGGATGCAAACAGCAATAAATGAGCAGCTCTAATCTTTGATTTAGCTTTGCCAAAAGGAAGGAAAATAGGTAAATAAATGGTCTCGTCTATTTCCCTGTTTGAACCTATTTTTTGGATTTATGCATTGCTTGTGCTGCCTCTTGATTGTCACCACTGCTGTATCTCCATCTGCTTTGTTCCTCTGAGAAATGAGAAATGTTACCTCAGAAGCAGAGTGAGAAGTCGCATTTATTGTTTAACATGTTTTTTTGTTTTTGTGGAGGTAAGGAAAGACTTTCAAATTAACTTTTCAAACCTCTTATATGTTAAAGGATTGCCTGAAACGTTCACAAGTAGGAAAAAAGGTCTTCTCTCCTGTACAACCTGCTCAGAGAAGTCGCTAAGCGGCCGTTAATGTGACTATGATTATAACTTACATTTTAACACCCACGATTAAAAAGAATCCTAGAAATGGAAGAGTACACCAACACATAATTATGGAGCTATTTAAAGGTGCTGTGAGGTTAAAGTTACAAGAATAGGTTAGCCTATTTTTCAGGAGAACCATTAGTCAGAAGATGCAAGTTGTCGCTGGAGTTTTACAAGAAAGCCCTGTTCCCATTAACCCCAGTGTGAATGCAATTACTATCGACATGGCTAAGGATGCATGGGAAAGTTTTTGTAACAATTTTTATAATCAAGTCTATTTATTCCTCTGCACCATGGAATCCTGCTCGCTTTTCATAATCTTCTCCTAGGATTTTATGTCCCGTGGCCAGTAGAATGCTCACTGAACAGCCGCTTTTTAACCAATACACTTCCATCCTGTGAGCAAGTGCTTGTTCACCTATGTACTTCCCCCCAACCTGGCTCTTATGATGGGACAATTTTACCTCCAGATGCCTCACTTCAGGAATATTTACTAGTGAAAAACAAGTAATAACTACAAAGAAAACCCTTTCTATTTATTTTGGAAAGAACTCCAGGTACTATCCAGACCAGACCATATCTTTTTTGGTTCCCTGAAGCCATAGATGACTAACCAGTCGCTCTCACTGCAGGGCAGGCAAACACTTTTCTGTCTAATGTAGATATAGTTCTGCACATTTTCAGAACTTGCATCCCTTTTAGGAAGAAATATGATTTGCCCACCCAACAATCGTTCTCCCTTTATACCTAAACTATGGAAACTCAATATTTGTCAAGTTTACAATGTTCCCAGTTAAAACACCATATTTCCTACCTTATTTCTTATCAAGAGGTAACCATCTGACAAAGTTCTGACCAATGAGATATAAATATAAACCATCTAGTGAGTATTGTGGGAGACATTTTTAAAAGGACCAAATGTAGATGTTGTACTCATCCTTGTCCTTAGTCCCATCTCTTTTTCCAGATTGGAACACAGCTATAATGCCTGGAAGTGCAGCAGCCATCTTGGGACCATGAGAATGAAATCATTGAGGTAAAGAAGGTGTGCACGCAGGACAAAAAGGAAATCTGAGCAAAATTATATTATGTGACAGCTGCAGCTGTCCTAATGCCCTCCCACTAGACTTTTGGATATATGAGAAAAATAAACCTTTCCATAACAGTTAAGCTGCCTTACTTGGGTTTCTCCCATATGCAGCCATGTGAAATATCAAGTGATGTAAACCTCTATCAATTTTAGTATTTTTACGAGGTTGTGAATTGGCAAAAGTTAACAAATATGTGATTATTGCTTGTGGTATTAAACTAGTTATGGGGATGGCTCCACCCCAGACCCATGAATCAGATTTTGATAGAGGATCTGAAAATCTATACTCTTCCCAATCTCCTCAGGTAATTGCAATCAATTTGGTCTGGAGCTTTGCAAAACCACTGCAAAGAGAATTTTCAGTTGAATAATATCTTGAAGACTGGACTTAGAATGCACAGAAAATAGTGCATGAAAAGTTTAGGCCCATATCTCATTGCTGATGAAAGGGATGGCCATCCCAGCAGCATCCATGAGTGTGCACTGAAGTCAGATGGGACGTGGAGGTGGGACGAAGGCCTCCTTCATTGCCTCATTGTCGCTCAGATGATACTGAGCCATTCAGTTAGGCTCCTGGATTTAGGGCTTCTTTCCTCGCAGGTCAAGCACAAAGGCTGAGCTAAGTCAACCTGAGTGTCACCCAGCAGAGACCCCTCTGTGGAGCTTGAGCATCCTGACCGCATACTTCAGGGTCCTCAGACTTTTGACATGACAGCCTCTGCCTCCAAGAGTGACTGCTTCAGCAGATCAAGACCAAAGCCGCATGACCTTTTATGACTGCCATAACAAAATGTCACAGACCAGGGAGCCCAAACAACAGAAATTTATTTTATCACAGTTCTGGAGGCTAGAAGTTCAAGATCAAGGCGCCAGCAGGGTTAAGTTCCTCTGAGGCCTCTCTTCTTGGCTTGCAGGGGGCCAAACTTCAACTCATCATCACTGTGCAGGCATCCTTGGTGTCTCTTTCTCTTCTTACAAGGACATCAGTCATATGGGAGAGTTTCACCCTAACAGCCTCACTTTAACTTAATCACCTCTTTAAAGACCTATCCAAATATAGTTACGTTCTGATGCAATGGGGTGTTGAGACTTCAACATATGGATTCTGTGGGGACACATTTCACCCCACAACAATGACCTAGCCTCAGAGTCACCCAGTGTTGCTTCCTTCACAGGCTATTGGCACAATGATAAGCTCACCCTGATTTGGGCTGTGCTGGGGAGGTTGGCATAGACTGTGACTCTTAATGGGAGAATGTTGAAGACTTTTCTGCCATGTTCTCACACAGCCGGGATTTGAAGCAGTTGAGGAAGAAGCTAGTGTGAGTGATTACTGGGAGCTACAGACACTGATGGGCTTTTAAATGTGATAAGACACACATTATACAAATGAGTTAGAACGGTGAAAGGTCCTGTGATGAAAAGAAACAGATGGAGGCCATTATTTTGGGCATTGAGACATAGCAGAGAAATACAAAAAGGTTCTTCTTTTCATGATGGGAAGACAGGATGTGCGGGTAAAAACAGAAGTAAAGAAATAGGTAACATTTAATTAGTTCCTATTTCCTGGTAGAGGTTACTCGTTCCCATTTTTTTTTAAAAAAAACACATCATTTTTTTTCCCATTTAGAAAGATCTAATTTTGACATTAAAGATAGGTCTTCATATTCAAATTTTGGTATGGACAAGCATATGGGTCCTCAGATTTATTTTGAGAGTCCAAGAGTTACACAAGTAATACGCGTCTGTGTTTATTTTCAGGATCATCAAAACTGAAAAAGTTATTTTGTGGTGATAAATCAAAATTGAAGAACAAAATCTTAGTTTGTGAAATCACTATTTCTCCAGGCAGGGCTTACAGAAAGATTCTCAGTTGTTTGGATGTTTTTTCCTTTAGGAAGGGATTGCATCTTACTCGTGATCAAGAAGCATTTGTATTCATGGCAATAACGATAAGGTTTACAAGAGCTTAATTTTGTTGAGGATTCAAACTGAGTAGGCAAGTGAAGGTATATGAAATGTTCCTCTGAACTGCAGGGGAAAAAAAAGTAATCCTTCCAGAACATTCTAAGGTGATTTGTTTTCTGGTTCCTTTCCAATCTTCAGAGTTAATGAAGTTGCTGCTCTCAAATGTACTGTTACATGAAAAGGTGAGATGATGCTCCTTCTCTATGACCCCAAGTGAAAGATGAGCCTCTCAGTCAATGGGCAGGGCAAAGATTGAAGTGGATTTGCGTATGACTTGGAAAAGTACTTCTTTTGTTCTTATAAAATCACTATTTGCAAAACACATTGGGTTAACCATTGTATCTTCCCTTCTTTTTAAATATCAAATTTTAATGGTGAGGATGTTGGTTATAATACATTTCGTTTGTTAAAATTAAGCAATTTTACTTTGCCTCTTAAAATTTAATGGAATGGTAATTTTCCTGGCTTTTAGTAGCTGCAAATCAAAATTGGTCAAGTCAATTTAACTATAATTTAGTAAAATAAAACATTTCTCTGTGGTCTGACAACTTCCATGAATAATGTATCTTTAATAGCTGTCAATTAAGGTAGTTTTTAAGAGATTTATGATGGGGGTATAAATATCTCCAAAAGGTAATTTATGGCACAGACTCAGACAATTCTTTGAATAAATCTACTCTGACAGCAGATAAATTGCTATACCGTATAAAAATAATGGAAAACATTTTGAATGTCTCTGCTTGCTCTATCCTGTTCCTTTTTATTCCATTCTTTCACCCCTTAATTCCAATATCCAAATCACAGAATTTTAGAGGTGAAAGAATCTAAGTGATCATCAGAAGTAACCTCCTCAGTATACAATTTACATATCATAATGCACATTTTGTATATCTTATATAAAAAGCTAGAACCCAAGAGTACTCTGACCTCTTCAAATAAATCCGTTGACATAGGTATTTGAATCCCATATGGAATTGCTACACAAAAATATTGAAAATCATTTTATGTTCAACAGCAGAAGTTGAAAAACTGAAAAAAGATAAGAGTATGACTAACAATATAGAGATTCTCTGTGGTAAATACACCGTATACAAAATTAAAGGACAACCAGCTGGTAGAAGCTCTTTGCCACAGGATTGAATTAATCCACCTTTCTTTCTGACATCCCTGTACCTCCTTTCTTGCTCGGAACTGGAGGGGTCTGGAGCTCTAGGAACAGAAAGAAAGCATCAACTCTTAGAATATTGAATTAGAATTTCTTCTTCTCCAATTCATCCAGTCTTGCATGCAAGTTCCAAGTTTTGTCCATTCCTCTGAGGTCTTCCCTTAGGTCATGACAGATAGGACAAAGTGACATCAGAACTGCTATTTCCTGGCAATCTAATAGGAGCTGCAATCCTGGTCCACAGGTAGAGATAAAAGCTTGAGGGATGTACCTGAGATCAACCCCTCTTTCCAGAAATTAATAAGATAAAGTCATTTTGGAATTTTTGCTTGGCGAAGCCTAAGATAGTTCCTTTATTGGGAAGGCTGTACATGTGCTAGTGGCTGTCAAACCCCCTCTGGCCCCTTGAAATAAACTCACATTGTGGCAGAAGTCAGAATGTGAAGCAGTTAATGTAGCCAGTGCAGGCATCTGTCTTCCATCTCCCGCATTTGTTCTGTAGATCCTTGTCTTTCGTCTTTTAAAATCAGCAGCCTCTTCCTTGGTTGATTTTCCATCCATGGAGACCCCCACAGTCTGCTGGAGCCTTCAAACCAATGCTCCAGTTTTTGACTTTCTAACTTGACTTTAACTGTTAGCACACCTCTGGCATGACTATCTTCTCTGCTGGCCCACTTGCAGCAAAATCCTATGTTAAGGATACTTCTCTGAAATACCACGTGGCCCATCAAAAGAGGGAAATATAGTTTATAGAATATCATAAATATAATATTAAATACAAATAGAAGCCAATCTGCAATTCAATGGGGTTAAATAAGTGACTGGTGACAATTTCCATCTTCGGTGTATCCTCAGCAACGTTTCCGAGGCAGCTTGTTTCTATTTACTATGTGCTATTTGTTTGACATCATATTGATATAAGTCCATAAGTCCCATCAGAATTGGGAGCTTGTATACATTCCATCCATGCTTTAGTCTCTCTACAAATTTCTGAATGAGAAAGAAATCATAAGTTCTGGAACGTAATGGAATTATATAAAGCCCAATTTATACATTGTGAACCAAATTTGTAGCTTATATGTTCTGCAAAATTACTGCTTTTAAGACAAAAAAAGAAAAAGAAAAATGAAATACTTTGCTTTAACAGAAATGAAACTATGTCAACAACCTCAAAATTAAAGTCTTGCTTGTTTATTCCTGGACAATCTTTCAATAGCTCTGCCTCTCCAGGGGCTTCTGCCCCTTTATCGCCGATGTTCCAGGTTTAAGAGAGACAAGTGTGCTGGCCGTGCGATGATTATTCAGGACCACTGTTAGGATGATCCCTACTCCCTCACCCCTCTGTCTTTTGAGTATGCTTCACCTGTGCCTGTCCATTGGCCCTTCAGCCGAGGTGTGTGAACTGTGGGAAACTCTGCTGCATCATTGAAAGTTGAGTTGCAACTTTTCATTCAGATTTCTGTCTGCAGGTCTCCTGTCAGCTGGCTGAATTTTGGAAACCTGAATAGGAGTTGGAAAAGCAGGTGGATCTTAAAATTCCCACGAGTGCTAAAGATCAGGGCAGAACAAGGTATAAATTTGGCTGGGGAAAGGAAAGAATTGGAACAAAGTTGGGAGGGAAAAGAAAGGATCACATAGGCATTATTGAGTAGTAACCCGGGCATGGCAGTCAGAGGTCTGGCTACTAATAGAGTTCGCGTTGGGAAGAACCGTGTGTCAGTTACCCCTTTGCATAAGAATCAATACAAAATGTAGTGGCTTAAAACCACAACCATTTGTTGAACTCACATTTTTGTGGGTTAGAATTTTGGGCTAGACTCCGCTGGGAAGCTTTTCCGTCTCAGCAGGGCTCACTCAAGTGTCTGCGGTCAGCTTCCAGGTTGGCTGCGGTTGATGGTCCAGCATGACCTCACTTGGGATGGGTCGTGTCTGTGCCACTAGGTCTTTCTCCCTCGAGCAGACTAGGTCTGGCTTGTCCGTTAGCTGCTGGGCAGGGTTCTGAGAGAGAGCAGATACATGCAAGGCTTCTTGAGGTCAAGGGCCAACATGGCTGGCCATCATTTCAGCCTCATTGGATTAGCTGTTACGTCACAAACCCAGCTCAAATGTAAGGGATAAGGAAATAGACTGTACGTCTTGATGGGAGAATTTTGAGTCATACTTCAAAGGACAAGGACATAGGGAGGCAACAAACGATTGTGGGCATTTTATAATCAACGCATCCCAAAGAGTGACAAATGGATAAGCAGTTAAGGCAACCAGAATCCAGATCACATCTTTAGATCATATAATTTGCAACTGGAAATCTTGCCCTTAGGCCCTCTTGAAACCAGTCTTTGAGTGAGATTGAGTTGAATCCTTGCCATGGAATTAAATATAACAAATATTGGTGGTAACAGGCAAAACAGGCAGTAAAGCGCCTGGCACGTGAGGGTAAAGCAACTTCGGGATGTTGTGGTTAAGAGTCTGGAGCCCAAGATGAGTTCAAGTCAGCCTCAACCATTAGAAGTGCCTGTGAGGCCTGGGGAGCCACAGACTGCCCTCCTCTCCAAACTAGGAACAGGGCACAGGCAGTTTTAAAGTGCTGTTCCATGTCTAAAACTGTTGGCTACAGATGCAAGGAACAATGGAACAGTCAAATGCGTCTCTGACAGCTCCTTCATGCTTTTTGTATATTCTTTCATCCCATGGTATAAGGTGATACAGTCAAGGAGGTGTAAGTTCTGGCAACCCCTTTCTTCTCCCCATCAGGAGCCCCAGAGCTGTACCTTACCTGACCTGCTGCCCTAATGTGGCACCTCATCCCTGGGAGGACTCTTTCCCTCTTAATCTTGCTTCCCCTCTGTAGTGTGACACTCCTGGCAGAAGCTACCTGAATCAGCGACTTTACATGTTTTGATGATGTGATGGTTAATTTCACGTGTCCCTTTGACTGCGCTAAGGGATGTTCACACGCCCAGTTGATAATTATTTCTGAGTGTGTCTGTGAGTGTGTCTCCAGAAGAGATTAGCATTTGAGTCTGTAGACTGAGTAAAGAAGATGCCCTCTCCAATGCAGGTGGCATCAGTCAATCCATTGAGAACCCGAAAAGAAGAAAAAGACAGAGGAAGGGTGAATTCGCTCTCTCTGCTTAAGCTGGGACATCCATCTCTCCCGTCTTTGGATAGTGAAGCTGCTAGTCCTTGGTGTCTCAGACCCACACAGGACCTTGCATCATTGGCCCCCCCAATTCTCAGGCCTTCAGATGCAGACCACTGACTTTCCTGGATCTCCAGCTTGCATATGGCAGATGGTGGGACTTCTTGGCCTCCATAATTGTGTGAGCCAATCCCTATGAAAAATCTCCTCCTTTATCGTCTTCTCTCTCTGTATATCCTATTGGTTCTGTTTCTCTGGAGAACCTCGACAACACAGAAGGACAGTCACCAGATGAGAAATCCTCAGGGAAGCCTTCCTCTGTGTTTTTACTGTTGGGTGACTTCTGGTGGGGCACAGACTTCTGAGCATCAGTGTCTTATTTATAAAACTGAACTACTTACTTGACTAATAGTTTGAGTTATTCTACATGTGAAATGAGCAGTTTCAATTTGACTGTTTTAGCAGGGCTTTCTAGTCATTCAAAGGGAGAAGAAAGAGCTCTTTCCATTTGTTACCTTGGTGTTGGGCACCTTCACTGAATTTTGCAGCATCATTCAGTTAACTTAGATCAATACTAAACTAGGCGTTGGTCAGAAATTGGCACTACAAAATTTGAGTTATCTGAGAAAGCGTACACTCCTTAATATGTAATTTAACAATGGAGATCATAGTCAGGCAAAAATCAAGCCTTTGAAGGTCTTAAAAAGAATTCTGAATGGTAAAACAGGTTCCATTCTTTTTAAAAATATCATATCATTGCGCTAAGAACACTTAATATGAGGTTTACCCTCTTGAATGTTTTTCTATCAGATTATTTTTATTACAATTGGAAAATATAAATAGAATTAAGAAGTTATTAAGAAAAAAACAGCAGTCTTCTGAATAACTCTACTTCTGTCAAAATTTCATTTTTAAATTCTTCTTATTATTATTTTTTAAATTTAATTCTTTTATTGAGGTCATGTTGGTTTATAACATTGTATAATTTCAGGTATACATCATTACATATCGGTTTCTGTATAATCTGCATTGTGCTCACCACCAATGGTCTAGTTTTCACCTGTCACTGTACACATGTGCCCCTTTACTCCTTCTGCCCTCCTTTCCGCCCTCTTCCCCTCTGGTAGCCGCTAATTTGATCTCTTTGTCCATGTGTTTGTTTATCTTCCACGTGAGTGAAATCATACAGTGTTTATCTTTCTCTGTCTGGTTTATTTCGATTAAAATAATACCCTCCAGGTCCATTCATGTTGTTGAAAATGTCATGATTTTGTCTTTTTTTATGGCTGAGTAGTATTCCATTGTATATACATATATATATACCACATCTTTATTCATTCATCGGTCAGTGACACTTGGGTTGCTTCCCCATCTTGGCTATTGTGAATAGTGCTGCAATGAACATAGGGGTGCATAGGTCTCTTTGAATTGTTGATTTCATGTTCTTTGGATAAATACCCAGCAGTGGGATGGCAGGGTCATACGGCATTTCTATTTTTAAATTTTTGAGAAATCTCCATACTGTTTTCCATCGTGGCTGCACCAGTTTGCATTCCTACCAGCAGTGTATGAGGGTTCCCTTTTCTCCACATCCTCTCCAACATTTGTTATTTTCTGTCTTGGTAATTATAGCCATTCTGATAGATGTAAGGTGATATCTCATTGTAGTTTCGATTTGCATTTCCCTAATGGTTAGTGATGTTGAACATCTTTTCATGATCTTGCTGGTCATCTGTATATCTTCTTTGGAAAAATGTCTGTTCATATTCTCTGCCCATTTTTTTATTGTTTTTTTTTGTTGAGTTGTGTGAGTTCTTTATATATTTTGGAAATTAACCCCTTGTTGGATGTATGATTTGCAAACAGTTTCTCCCAGATGGTGGATTCTCTTTTCGGCTGGTTTCCTTAACAAATTTTAAGTGTACCATACGTTTTTGTTGACTAGATACAGTGTGGCACAGCATAGCTCTAGGACTCACTCATCTTGCTTACCTGAAACTCTGTGCTTATTGATCAGCCATTTGAACATGAAGAAGAGATTTGATTTTTCTACTGGTCTCAAAACTTTCCATATTGGCAGAAAAACTATCTTGGACCATGTTTCAAATGGATAAAATATATTGCCACTTCAAGTGATATTGTCAAAGATGAATTATAAATTCACTCTTTACTTAATATTTCAGGAGATGTTCCCTTTTGACATGTTACTTTTACCATTAAATAACTGGACTCAACAATTAACTGATTGTTTATTAGTATATTCAAAATAAATTGGGTGCAATCCTGAACACGTGTCTCTGTTTTAGAATAAAGGTCGTCAGACCCTCACGCAGCTGTTTCTTCCACCTGCGGAAGTGGGTCAGCACGTGGTGCAGCAGTGCTTGAACACAGGCAGCATTTCACCCCAAATCAATAGGGACTGCACAGCATGGGGGCAGTGACAGGATGGATGGTGTTTTCCCAGAAGACTTTCTTTAGAAAGAACATATGCTAAGTGAAATGAGCCAGACCCCAGAAACAGAAAGGCAAATACTGTCTGATCTCACTTAGATGTGAAATCTAAAAAAGTGGAACTCATAGAACCAGAGAGGAGAATAGTGGTTGCCTGGGGCTGGGGGTGGGGGAAACAGGGAGATGTTGGTCAAAGGGTACAAACTTCCCGTTATACGATGAACAAGGTCTGGAGATCAACGTACAGCATGCTGACTATAGTTAACAGTACTGTATTGTATACTCAAAATTTGCTGAGAACAGATCTTAAGTATTCTCAGCACACACCACACATTCCCCCAAAAAAGGTGACTGTGTGAGGAGATGGATGTGTTAATTAGCTTGATTATGGTAATCGTTTCACGATGTATACATCTATCAAATCATCACATTGTAACCTTAAATATATACATGTTTTATATGTCAATTATACTTCAATAAAGCTGGGAAAAAAGATGAAAAAACATTTCCAGGAATAAAATCCCAGCATCAGAACCATATTTTTTAGTCACTGTCAAATTTACTGAGAAATGCAGTATTTTTAAAAGTGCTAACTGCTTTAGTAGATAGATTCTGACATTTTTTGCATGTTCCGTTTCTGCATAGATGTTTGAGGTATAATTTTTTAAAATCACTTAATGGAGATATGATTGATGTATAAAAGGCTGTACATATTTAATGTCTACAACTCGATGTGCTGGGAGAAACCATCACCACAGTCTATGCTGTAAACATATCCATCACCCCAAAAGCTTTCTACCCCTGCTCTATTATTTCTTCTTATTACTTTCTTTTTGTGATGAGAACATTTAACACTCGTGCAAATTTTTAAGTAAGATCTCCCCAGACAGCTTTTCAAAATTCCAGACATCGCCAGAGAAAGTTTTATCGCAAACGGGGTCTACAGAGAAAGGCGCACGTGAAGATGGGAAGTTAGGTGAACTGAGTAATACGTCAACCCTCCACCAGCCCTAACCTGGGCCTTATAATGTGATGTGGTGGCAAGAACACACACACGACCCCCTTCTGCCCTTCCAGAGGCACCCTCAGGGCTTCTGTCGATGAGAAGCAGGCATGCGTGGCAGAGGATCGGGTGAAGGCGGAACCAGAGGATGACCATGTGGAGGAGACTGACTCAGCACAGACAAAAGCCTGGAGCAGTAAGTGTGTTTACGGGATGCTTGAGTCAGTCTTTGGGAACAGCTCCCAATGGGTCTGGGGTGTGGCCTTATGCATGGGATGGGTCTATGAAGCCTATATATGGCGATAACATTATGACCTTCCTTCCATCCACAGGGGAGTGGGGCCTGGGGAATTTCATCTCCTATCTTCACCTTGCCAGGACCTGAGTTAGATTTTGGTCCAGAAAACATCAGAGCATGAAGGGCTGCCTGATATGGGTACCATATTGGTGGCCTTGGATACCTAAAGATGTGCAAAGCAGCCCCTGTAAGTTAAGCAAGCAGTTTTCCTTCAGGTAAATCTACGTGGTAACCCTACACCTCACGGACCTGCACACCCCATGTCCTCTGTGTGACTCCTGACGCTGGGTGGAGACCTGCCATCTTCTCTGTATCTCACTCTCCCTTTGTCATCTCTGACTTTGCTCTAACAGTTTGTATTCTGGACTTACTTAGTATTCTTTCATATGTGAGGTGGTCTCATGTTGCGATGTTTATCATATTTGTATTTAGTTGCATGTGTGCCCTCTGATCCCCGAGGTAGAGAGGGCATGAGTCGGGTTGGGGGAGATGGGAGAGGGGCAGGCGCACAGGGGGTAGAGGTGACAGAGGGGGTCAGAGACATTTCAGAGTTCCTCCTAAACCAGCTGAGAGCAGAGATTGAGTAGGACTAGGTAGTTAGAACTGAAAATAATTTATTTTGAATAAAATACCGGCGGGGGGGGGGGGGGGCTTTAAAAACACCAGCTCTCTCTCTTCCCCTCTTTCTCTCTCCCTCCCTCCCTCACTAATTCTGTCTCTCCCCAAAATAGTAAGTACAATATGACATCCCAGAAAGAAGGTCACTGTGACTTAAGGAATTTTAACTAGAGGTCAGATCAGAGAGATTTGAATCGTGTGTTTATAAGGCAGGAGTCTTGGGCATCATCACTTCCACATCTGACACCCTTTAAGTAATAAGCAGAAGTAAGAGACCTGATAGTGCTTAAGTCAGAAAAGTTTTCTCCCCTGTGAACTCCTGCGCAGTGATGTTTACATATCCTTCTTCTTTTGTCCTGAGAGACCCTTGAGGGAGGAGATGAGGTCCTCGTGGGCTGGTGGCTGCAGGCGCCTTTGAGAAAGTCCTGGTTTGTGTGTTTTGTAAGTGCTTTTGTAGGGGTGACGTCTTATGTGCCTGCTCTTTCACCAGACAGACACATTTTCCCCCTTCCTGTCCCTGGCACCAAGCCCTGAGCTGTGACCGCATATGCAGCCAGTAACTATCTGTGAAAGGATTTGCGAGTTGTATTTTGCTTACAGAATCCTTTGGCTCATCTGCCTCCTGCTCCCGTCTGGAGCTTGGCCGTGTGGACCTGTGTATGTGTGGTGGGGTCATGTCGAGATGATGAGGGCCAGAAAGAAGAAGGACTCATTGGCAACGCCGAATGTCAAAAACAGTTTTCAGGGCTGGCTGTAAGCATTTCTGACGGTGACCTCCTAAGGCTTATTCTATATTGTCCATAATTTAATTGGATAGACGGATGACACACACGCAGCATCAGTATCAATGTGGAGATGCTGCTCATTTCCACTGCACTCTTCTCTACCAGCCATCTGTGTCCTATCGTGTTGCAGGTAAGGAAGAAAATTTTATCTCAAAAGGGTGAAAGTGTATGAAACGCATGAGATAATCTTGGCTTCTCAGGGCAGGTGGAGCCCCTGTGGAGGAACTGGGGCTGTTTCACTGAGGATGGTTCAAACTGGCCACCGACTTCTCCCAGGAAGCTGGAGAGAGAACGAACTTTGAGAGACCGGTCAGATGAGAGAGACATCGAGCTGGAGGGAGGCGTCTGGTGGAGAGTGAGTTTCTGGGCAGACGGGGAAATGCCACCTGCGAGAATCAGGGAGAGAAGAGGAAGAGGAGCCCTCGCTTTTGTGACGATGTCACAGTCAACTCATCTCTCTCCCCTCTTTCCGCCATTTCTTCCTGGTTCTCTGTGTCCTCGTCTCTGTCCTTCCAGGGCTGTGGTTGTGTTGCCGTCCTGTGCTCTCCCTCACTCTCCCCCATTACTGCTCTGCTAAGGTGTGAGGCTTCGCCTCTCCATAGGGCACATGCTCACAGCTGTATATACAAGTGCTCACGAGTGGATTAGGGTCCTAGTGAGGCTAACATGTCCAGAGGGTGTCCAGGTGCTCAGGGTGCTGTTTTCTGTAAGTCCAGGCACCCGGGGATCTGACTCTATAGCGGGAAGAGCCCTACTAGGGACATGGAGGCCACAGTGGTGGCACCTGCGTGATTTCTGGTGTGTTTGTCTCCTGAGGTTTCCTTGTTAAGACCCAGGTCAAGGACCTTATAACTCTGAAGTAATGAAAACTAAACATTTGGTCTTCATCCTTGGTTCCTGGCTTGTGGCTCCTAAAAGCCTCGGAATCTGTGGAATGATAAGAGCGTCTTTTGTATGTTAATGAGATGACGTTATCTTGGGGGCCCTAAGATAGTTTAAGGATGGGAGCCAGTAGCCAGAAAGACCAAAGCATGATTAGTAGGCTGAAACTTTCAGCCCTGCCCCTGACCTCCATTGAGGGGTGAAGGGCTGGAGGTTGAATTAATCACCACTGGCCACAAAGGCATAGGGAGGGCTTCCAGGCTGGTGAACACGTGGAGGTGCTGGGAGGGTGGGTGATGCACCTGGGGAGGGTGTGGGAGCTTGGCACCCCTTCCCACCCACCTCGCTCTATGCATCTCTTCCACTTGGCTGGTCCTGAGTTGTATCCTTTATAATAAACTGCTAAACGTAAGTAAAGTGTTCCCTGAGTTCTGGGAGCCGTTCTAGCAAATTATCGAAACTGAGGAGGGGCTGGTGGAAGCCCCTGATGTATATCCTGTCAGTCAAAAATACAGGAGGCCTGGACTTGCGATTGGTGTACAAAGTTGGGGCGTCTTGGGAGACCAAGCCCTTCAGCTGTGGGGTGTGATAATTCTGGGTAGTGAGCATCAGAACTGAACCGAACCGAACTGTAGGACACCCAGTTGGTGTCGGAAAAGTGGAGAATTGGTTGATACGGGAAAAAACCCCCACACATTTGGTGTCATAAGTGCTGGTGATGTGGATCAAGGCTGCCCCGGGTAGAGAAGCCCAAGGTGTCCTGGCCTACATGCCGATCTACATGACCCGATGGATTTTATGGAGTGGGTTAGGGCTGCCCCAGGGAGAGAAGCCCAGGTCATCCTCACCTACATGCCGATCTATATGACCAGATTCATATCTAAAGTTATACGACCACACAATAACCAGACCCCATCTGCACTGAAACCATTTAATGACTTTTTATGTCATCTTTTCTTTTTCCAGTAAAAATAACTCACACCCATGCCTTATAAATTTAGCTCTAACCCTCAACACATGGCAGCAGCAGCTCTTACTGCCCGTGGGTCCTGCCCCCATGCTACTCCATGCTATTCTCTAAATAAAAGAGCACCACTGCCAGACCTTGAGAGTCCAAGAAATCTTTCTTTTGACTCTTCGGCTCGCCGCCCCCACATCACTGGGAGTAAAAACAGTTCATAACACCTATATTTTCCCTCACTGGACAAAAGATCAGTTAAACTGAGGCCTTTGATATAATCTTTCTGGGCCTCAGCCTCCTCATTTGTCTGGGAGGTAAGGTAGACTCAGACAGTATCTTCCAGTCTGTAGTGCTAGGGCTTCTAAATTATATGTGACCATATATATTGATGTCACTGAACAAAGGGCATGATCTTCTCACGGCAAGACAAAAGCCAATCTGCCAAGAGGCAAGACGGTGGTAGAAAAAGGACTTTTATCAGGTGATGAGCAAGCTAATTAGAAGACGGTGGACCAGTGTCCTAAAGAACCATCTTAAGGGATATCAGGAACCTTGAAGCAGCTATACGGGGCTAGAGGGCTATCGAGGAAAAGGTCAGGAATGCCGGGCCTCTGGTGCTGTAGGCTGGGAGTGGCCCCACCAGACCTCTCAGCTGCTGTTGCTGATGGACGCCAGTATAGACTCTCTGTCTGCGGGTCATCACATTCCTAAGGAACTCAGAAGAACAAAGTCATCGTCTCAACGCAGCTGGAAGGTATATATGTAAGCAGGGGTCATAAAATCATGATGCATGCAGTTTTCTTTGTGTTCCAGCTACTTATTATCTAGCCTACATGCAAGCTGGACGTATGTCCAGCTGGATTAATTACTTAGAGGTTATACAGAGTTATAACACAGCTTCCTTGCTACAGTGTGGCTTCCCTTATGTCAAACTCGTATTGAGCCGGTATCATTGGTAGATTTAATTTTTGAAAATACGTTTCCTTTTGATAAAGATTTCTACAGATGCAGAAGCTTAATGAGCTACCAACTTTGTGCACTCAGCAACATGACAGACCAGAAACATAGAATTTGCTTTATGCTGGAAGTAAACAGAATGACGAGGCCACTCTCCTATCTTAAAAAAAAACCCAAAAGGATAAAATTTAGAAGTACAGCTCCAAAACACCAAATAGAGGGATTTCCTTTCTGCCTATGATTAAGAACAAAAATCAGTGCCCACATTACTTCTTTTGTTTGTGTGCTTTTTCTACCATATTATTTTAAATACTTGTCTAAAATTGGTAACGTGATGCATAAACAAGAGACCTATTGAATTAGATAGAAAGAAAAGTAGTGGCTAAGTCCTCAAGTCAGACCAGAACTTTGAGCGCTGTCCTCGGGCCATGCTGGGAGAGGGTTATAATGAGATCCCTCCGCAATTACCCAGACCATGTTGCATGTGACCCATGAGCACCCCAAATCCACAGTAGGCTGAAGTCGAGCTCCAAGGACACCACCTCTATTCATCGTCTGCTGAGATGCCAGACTGAGACTGCAGTCCCAGAGAATTCTAGTTTCCCCAGTACAAGCTTATCCTGATGTTAGAGTCGCTCATCTAATATTTGATGTTTAGTATTTACATTTCATATACTTAAATGTATTTATCTACTTTTGTATACTTACTACTTAATATTTAATACTCTTCGACAGTCAACTCTTCAGTATTCAAATTCAACTGTTGGTTTACGTTTCTGTTATTTCATTTGCTTGTTAGATGGATTTTTAGTAAAAATATAATAAATGATACAGTATAAAATATTTCTTCTATTTCTACAGGGGATCATCACTGATGAACATAGGTTTATAGGAAAAGACTCATGAAAATGCTAGAACTAATTTATTTTTCTAGGTGTACAGTTTGTGCCCTGGGAAGAGGAGATGGGAAGGCACACTGGAGAGACACCGTGCGTCCACATTTTAAGCTGGCAGTAGGCACTCGTATGGCTCAGAATGGGGGTCCTGCAGTGCCTTCTGGCTTCCTGGCATGCTGGATGGTCCCATGCGGATGGAGCAGGTGCGACTTCCCTTCAGGGGTCTACGGGCTCCGCTTTGACAAGTTGACAGAAACGGAGGGTTCTTAGACGCAGAATCAGAGCTAAAACCAGAGGAAAAAATGTTTACCTGGTAACCGGTGCTGTTTCCTGGAAGCTGGAGGAAGATACTCCTCTTTTCCTCAACCGATTTTAGCTCACCTGGGTCCCCGCGATGAGGGCTGGCCTTTCAAAGAGGTGCGACCCTAGCTGTCAAAAGAGTTGCCCAGAGGCTGGCAGGTGATGTCTTTCTACTCGTCTCCGTGGGGTGAGGGGGCTGCTGTTCCCTGGGAAGAGCTTGGGAACTATGTTTTGTTTTTTCTAAAATTTATAAGCTTGACTGAAGGAAGACATGTTGGTCTATCATTATGCAGAGAGCTGAGCCAAGTGGCCTGCGATACAGTGACAGTTCAGACCGTGTAACCTCAACTGATGGCAGTAAAGCAAAGCCCCAGCGTGGCGGTGTTTCTGCATGAGAGGAGGCTCTGGTTAGACAGCAGAAGCCAGGAGAACATGCTCAGCAGGCTCCTTCATTCATCCACTGATATAAGGAGCATTTCCTGAGAGCTGGCTCTGAGCCAAGCAGTGCCCTCGTGCCAGGAACATGGTAAGAATGCAGTGTAGTCCCCCCGCCATCATGAATTAGCCTCCAGTAGGTGAGACAGACAATGCACACAGATACAAAATCGCATTTTAATAAAAATCGTAAACCGTTAGAGTGTTTTCAATAGGGTACGACACAACAACAATTTAGCCTTTCTAATAATAATTTAGCTGTCTTGTGTAAAATGCCATGCAGGGGGCAAGGAGGAAAGAAGGAAGGTCAGCTCGGTCAGGTGCTGATCCAAAGTCCAGGGGCATATTTGGGGGGGATTGGACTAGGACTGAGGGGTGCAGGAGCTGATGGTGGCTGGATTTGGGATACATCGTGGAGGTTGTATCTCCAAGGCTTTTTTGGGGGGAGGGGGTTGGAGGGTTAGATATGGGGTATATTGGAAGGAGAGAAATCAAGGTTGATTTCTTAGAGGTTGGGTCTGAGGCATAGCCCAGCTAGTTGTTTTTCTTGTCCATGGGATTTTCTCTCTAATAGAGAGGGTAAACAGGAAACAAGTATATGCACATATCGTATCAATTTAGACAGTGAAATGTGCAATGAAGAAATGCATGATAAGTGCAATGGCAACTGGATTTATCCAAACTAGGTGTTTCTGAAAGAAGAACATAACTAAATCTAGATGGGTTCCATCACTCACTCGACCGTTGGACTCGTGTTCCGGTAAGAGACTTGCACGTGTGACTCCATCATCTCTTCCTTTACTCATTTGATAGGAAAGAGGAGTCCATTGCTGATGCCTCCCCCAGAGGTGTCTTTTCATTTGAATTTTCAACTCAATTTTCAGTTTTACATGTATTCTGCACAGAGTTTCTCTCTTTGTTTTTCCTGAATGAAGGAAACAAAAATATCTCTAGATTGGCCCACTCTAAGAGATAATATATAAAAGTCACAAGGCATCAGCTCGACTTATGTCTTGTAAGTACAAAAAAAGCCACGAGGGTGAATATTTTTCATATCATATTTAAAAGTCAAAATATGCATTCCATATCACTAAAGCATATAGAAATCCATTAGCTGTCATCCATGCAAAGGATAAACTTAAAAACTGATCAGATATAAATAAAGTGGGAAGTCTGGCATAAAGAATAAATCCATAACGGCACCTGAGTGCTGACCCTGATAGATCTCAAGTTTAGATGGAGCGTTTATCTGCTTTCAGACCAACGTGGGATCTGATCAGGCTAACACAAGTCTGACTCGTTTATTTAATTATTTTTTTAAAACAAAGTAAATACCTCAAAACTATTCCTCACAAGGATCGATCCAGTGGAAAATGTGAAGCATTCTAAGATACAAGGAAAGTTCTTTATGCTGACATCCTTTGGAAAATTGGGACTTAGAACGAAGAGTGCCGAGTTTCCCATTCATTCAGAAAGCCAGCCTCCAAACCGAATAGTAAAAACAAACTAAGTAGTAACAAATCAGTCATTTTTCTTTTTAATAGAGAGGACATAAAGATATGGGCAAACCTCAAGGAAACATCTTTGTTCAACATTTTAAGAGTCAAATTATTTTCATTTAGAGTTTCTTTTCTTTCCTTTTCTTTATCACTCTTTCCCCTCCATGTCGTCTCCCCTCTCCCTCCCTCTCCCTCTCTTCTCTCTTTATCACTATCTCTATCTCTGTCTCTATATCTCTCTCTCTTTCTCTCCCTGTCTCTCTCTCTCTCTCCTTCTCTCTTTGTCTCTGTCTCTCTCTCCCTCTCTCCCTCTCTCTTTAAGCCAGAGGACATAACTTTAAGGGCAGGGAGGAAGTTCAGTAGATGACAAAGATTGGCTGTGCTAAGCCGTTCTGCAGAGCAAACAGGTATGTATTAGGGAAATAAAGGTCTGATCTAAAAGAGCTAGATTTGCCTTGAGCACGTGGCCCTGGCCAGCTGCAGGTAATGAAGGGAAAATTGCTGGCTGGTGCCGGGCCCTGAAGGTGAAGATGAGAAGATGTGAACATCAGGTGGGACTCCGCAGGGGACTAATAAAAGGATTAGAAGGTCAGAAGGGTGGAAAGAAAGGTTAATTTCATAGCAACATTTTGAGCAGGCTTAGGAGAAGGGAAAATTGTAAAGAAGGCCAAATGAGGGCTCAGAGAAGAGTTAAGTTAGATAAAATCCCAATGTGGAAGGAGGGCAAAGAAACAAAGATGACCCCTGTAGGAAGAGTGGTGAGCAGGGATAGCTAGGAAAAGACCATGTGGAGCATTAGAAAACTGTGAAGTAGACATTTATGTTAGAGAAATTACCTGAGATTTTATAGTCCTTTCCAGGTAGAGCTTGATCTGAATTCGCCTCTACTTGATTTCAAATCTTGTGTTCGCAGCAGTAGAAGCCACGTCCAACATTATTAGAAATAACCATTTTCCAAAGCTAGTCATTAGAGAAACTTTAAAATTAAAAAAGAAACATCTATTCTTTGTGAATCTCAAGTGACTGGACAAATGTAAGATAAACTAAGAAAACGAGGATGATGTCTATCGACTCAACGATAATGTTATTAGGAGCATTGTTAGGGTAAAGCATTTTATATTCTCAGAGTGGGATTTGCTTAATCTAATAGGATGAAAGAAAGGCATTGTAAATAGACTTGTAGGTAGAAAAAAAGACTTTTTGGTACTTGTATTCTAATTGTATCATTTGGCCTGCTTTTATGGTATTTTGTTTTTACGTGAATTGACTTGAACTCAATCTCTTTTTCAATGATGTCAAAAAATTATACTGTTCCTCTAATGATACACTTTGCCTTGTTATCGAAATTAATTGTCCACAGTCTGTGATTCCAGGGGTCTTACTCTTCGACTTGTCCAGAGCAGGACCGTGGTGAGTTTGGTGTCGGTTCCGAGTTTGCAAGGAGACAACTCATCTCGCCTGGGAGTTCCACGTCCTTCTCTTTTTTAGGCATCAGACATGGTAGCCTTCGGGAGTTCCTCACTGAGAAGAGACCTAGCTCTCTCTCTTCGGTGACCAGGAAGTTTCAAACAGTTTTATCCACTGTTTCTTTTATAAAAGAAAACTTTTTTGTTACAATTTTTTTGGGTCCTATCTGAATTCTTTATCTTAAAAGTATTTTTCTCACGTTTAGGCTTTTTCAATTGTTTGTTGCATTTTGGGTTCTTCATATTTTGAGAAGCTATGTCTCCAGGCCTTAGAGAGGACACATTCGTGAATGGCTGTTGCTACAGCTCTTCAGCATCGTCTTGGGCACGTTGTAGGGGAGAGTAAAGCCATCGTGACTGTGAAAATCCTGCAGACTCACTTGCTCCATCAGTGGGCTGCTTGGGTCTATCAGCCACAGAGTGGTCTGCTCGCTTCATTGCTCAGTTCAAAAGGGCAACAGGGAACAGAGAATCAGCGCATTAGAAATGAGGGGAAACAGAGATAGAAGATAGGAATTTTACCCCAGAGTTTCGGGCATACAACAAAAGTTGCAGGACCTTATGTTCCTCATGAATTTCTGTTCCTTTATGACTCTGCCCCCAGGTGGACAAACCAGTGGGGGACATAATCTCAGACACCCAAAAGTGGGAGCCGGGGCAACTTTCATGATTAGGGTTCCAGAAAACGGGGTTGCTGGCATTTGGGTCACTGTTCATGCCCTCCGTGGTTTGGTTCCTTGGGTCCTGGGACCTGGATGGCTGCTGCACACTGGATCTGTTGGACACATTGGCCCTGCCCTGACACCTGCCCTCTGTTTTCTCCCTCACTCTCTGCTCTTGCTCCAACTCCTGCCTTTTCCTTCCTACTACAAGTATATTGAAATCTTTGTAGTTCTTTATCATTGGTGCCTCTGTTTGTTCTTTTTTATCTGAGTATTGTTCCAATACAAGTTTTTATCTTAGGAGAGAAAGAGGAAACATTAGTATAGTCTGGACATTTTTATCGATGAATCAAATTTTAGCAAGGGGAAGTAACAAGGTGCCAAGGGTTGGCCAAACAATAAAGCCATTTTCTTTCAATTATTAACTATGACATATATTCTTTTGCATCACTGCTATTAAAATTTATGATTCTTAATGCTGTGTGCTAATTCATCTCTTTCAGATTGTAATCTAATGGAAATAAATTGTTTGCTTTGGAACCAAAAAGTACAAAGATGTTGGAGATAAACCAAGAATGAACAGATTGTCCTAGCTAATATCTGTTTACAGATATTTAATTTGAACGGATAGAACTTACATTTACTGTTCTCTTCAGCTGCAAAAAGAGCACTATTGAATGCTGTATGTTGTCCTGCAAGCTACAGTGAAGTCGCTTTTTAAAATGTCTGTTGAGAATTCTAAATTTCAGTGCACTTCAACTATTTTCCTTTCCTTTCATTAAAATGAAACTTTGCTTATTAGATATGCATCCGACACATATGTTAAATTTATTTTGCAATATCTATTAAAAGGAAAACTTCAGCAGTGGGTAAATTGTGGCTCTGTTCTACAATGTATCAGGAAGGGTCATACACTACTGTGAGAGCATGAGTCGCATTTGTTCAGGTTTGTGAGAAAATCTATGACATTGGGGTTTACATTTTTTCCTACAACAATCCTGGGAAGGATAGACATCCATATGTTTCTACTGGACCATTCAATGACCTGAGTACCAAATTAGCCGAGTTATTTGCCTAATAATTTTGTCCTCAAAGTGAAGTCTTGTCCTTTTATATCAGGGTTCAGTGTAAGGAGAGACATGGCCAGAAGATAAAAGCAGGCTTCTCTGAGTCAGCTTGTACCCTCTCCGAGACGGATGTGACCAGGCTGAGTTCTTCACATTTTTGATATGTAAGTTTGCATTTGCTTTTCCCTCCTGGCGGAGTGTGGCCTGGATTCCATTTGCTGCGGTCAAGGCCAAGATTATTACTAGTGCCGAAGACAGCCTCGCCTGTGATGCCAGGGTCTGACTCCGGAGTGCAGGTGTCTGCAAGAAGGTCACTCTCTTCTTTTACCACTCACAGACCTCTTAATGCTTCCTGCTGGCCTCTTCAGTGCTGACGGTATCTTGCTTTCTCAGTGGCTCTTTTATTTATGATGTGCTTCTTAAAAATGACAGCCGGCATATCACGGGATGTAGTTCAGGGTCAGAAACACTCTCTTCTCCAACACTGGTCCGTGCACCTTGAACCAGAGATGGGCTGTGGCTCTGTCTTTCCTCATTAGCACTTTCTTCTCAGGAGGTTCATCCATCACACGTGTAAGTAGATAACTGGGCTCTGGGCTACAGTATTGATCAGTACCACATATCCAGATCGTAACAGAAATAAAGCTTTAGACCCAGTGTGGATTCCACTATGCTAACAAAGAACTGTTAGGCACTAGCAAGTTTAATGAATTTATTAATGGATCTTTGAACAGCTAATATGCACCCAACACTTTGAGACGCTTGGAAAAAGAGAAGCACATTTTTCTGCCCAGTTGAAACAGTTGTGAGGTAGAAAAAGGCAAGTATATGTGGGGATAATTTAGGACAGTCCTAGTCCTCGAAAGGACAGGAGGACAATGACATAGGGAGTTCTGAGGAGGGCGTGGTGGGTGACCACTGGTAGGGCGGTGAGGGAAAATGATCACATTTTCACTGGAGCTCCAACATTGAGAATAAATTGGCCGTGCGATGGCCAGGTGGGCATGCCTGTGACACCTCGGAGGGAAGGAGAGGACGGTGGACCACCGTCATAGGGGGATGCCGGGGACAGAGGGGTGGGAGAGGACCTGAGGGTGAGGCGAGGGTTTGATTACATTCCGAGGGCACTGGAAATCCACTGTGTAGGGATTCAGGGCAGGGATGTGACGTTTGACAGTGGAAGGGTCAGAGAACCCATCTTGTGCACCCTGACTTCTTTGTGCAGAATGGATTAAAGGAGGAGAAATAGTAAGTCAAGCAACATATCAGGAGTTTGGAGAACCAGTCAGATGGGAGCTGAGAGGGTGGCTTGGACTGGGGTGGCGGAGGAGAGGTAGACGGTTGGATGGGAGATAGATTTGGGGGATAAAGCAAACAGATTGCCCCGATGGACTGGATTTGGTGAGTGCAGAGAGGAAGGATTCAGGCGAGACACCCAAATTTTCATTCTGAGCAACTGAGTCCTGTTTACTGAAGAGGTTCAGAGATGGGTGTGGGGTGAATTCAAGAACTGAATGTGAGCACATGCAGCCTCAAACCTTTCGTTTGTAGGAACGGGACTGTGAGCCAGCAGGTGCATGTATGTCTACAGCTAGCTTATTGGCCATGGTAAATGCCAGGATCTATCTGGATTGGAGCTACACTAATTCCAATAAAGTTTCATCCCTTCCATTTCACCAGATAAAATTTTCCTGCACACAAGAAATATTGAGATGTGACTGCCCCGCCAACTCCCAATCGCCAGTCTTAGTTTGTTCAAAATTGATTTCATAGTCATCCTCACAAACACATTGCTCTCCCAGATTTTCTACGTGGTCTGTGGCATCAGCAACCACGCAGGCATCTGAGAGTCACATGAAGGTCACTGACATAGGTGGGCACTTGTCCCGTGATTCTAGCCTTATCTATCACCACTCACTACCTCCAGCTTTGCTTGCAAGCAGATCAAATTCTCACAAAAATGCCGGAATGGGATATTTCCTAGTGTCTGTGCTTCCACAAAACTGGGCGTCGTCAAACGTGGTTTCTAGGTCTTCATGTGGATGTCATTCTTCTACACTAGTCAGTGAATGCCTTTAGGACAGGAAAAGTGTTTTATTTATCTTTGTTTTTCTATCCTATAGCACAATATATCCTGGAGAATGTGCCCAGAAATATTTGTGAACGAATAAATTTGAAATGAGAAAATACAGAACATGTGAACAACTTGGTTAGTTGTATGCACCAAGGAAATATTTTCACAAATAATTACTAGATGAATGAATAAATGAACATTTTAATGAATAAATGAACATTTTTCTGACAATTTGAAATAAGAAGGAAAGGCATGTAAAAGCACAAAAGCTTAGCTATTGTGTTAAATACAGGTCCTTAGCAAATACATGTTGAATGAATGAATGAATGCCCATGTGCCAGTACTGAAATGAAATCTTGGCCAGCTCACGAGCTGTCTTTTTGTTTTGTTTTGTAATAAGAACATTTAACATGAGATCTACCTTTCAGCAAAATTTTAAGTGCATGATACCATATTGTTAACTACAGGTGCTATGGGGTACAGTGTATTTCTAGAACTTATTCATGTTGTATAACTGAATGGTTGTGTTTTTAAAAATGTACCTGGCTGCTTCAACTTTAATGATCTCACAATGTAAAGGTGACTTGTGCTGATTTTTTTTTTAAATCCATATTTCGGTTTTTTTGTGCTTGTAGAGTTAGGGTTAGAAATTCTTGTAATTAGTTCTCTTGGGGCAATATTTTTCTATGGTGTAGCGAGGGAAATGTTAGCTGCTAATATCCCAAATGTTATAAGTTCTAGAATGTTACAGCCGATCACCATAAATTGGTATGGGCATCCCTAACACCCGTCCCTACGTCTCCCCTCCCAGTGCGGTCAACACACCCCTCAGGTCTCCAGACTTTGGTTTAATACGTTTTTACGGGAGTTGATTCTTAGCGCTTTGTGGCCTCAGATAAGCCGGAAGTGTCACCGCAGCATCAGCGGGCCAAGCCATCAGGAACTGAGAGGAAGTCAAGCAACAACATCCATGTATTTGATGGCTGGAAGAATAAGTAAACAGTGATAACCCAAAAATCCTGTTCAGGTGTCTCAGACCATCCAGGGCAGTGAGAGGAAGGCAGGCAGGGACTCTCCGGGCCCAGCCAGCGGCATCCTCATGGCCTGGCCTATGTCTGATGGGGTGACGTTTCTTGCTTATTTTGGAGGTCAAACGGCTGAGGGGCAATTCCTGGAAACAACGATTACAGTGTGCTTTTGGCATCCAGAAATCTCGATCTCTGAGTTTGGGCTTTAAAATCCAAATAGATCAACTCAGGGTAGACACCTCGCTGGGCAGGCAAGCGATTTGGGACTTTGAAATGCTGATGAATATTCAAGGAGATTTTTATGCAATGAGGAAAATCACCAGCACCAGCGGGAGCACTCAAGGGACCTTTCCAGGATGGCGACCCAGGCCAGCAGCTCAGGACAGAAATGCAGTGACGTGGTAATCAATCATAAAAAGAGGAACAAAATCCTGAGAAAGAGTAAACACGTCTTCTAGCACTGTTAGCTGGGTCAGTCAACTCCTGATGAGCAAAGGACCTGTGTGATCCTGAAATTCCCACGAGGGGATGGACAGGAGAACAGGAGGAGGCAGTGGAGCTGCATGCAGGCCTCTGCAGATGAGAAAACCCTGCAGGGCTCCCGTGTGCGAGGGATGGGCGGTTGTATTTCAGTTCCTCCGAGGAGGTGCACGATTGCATGATTTGTGTTGACCACAACCCACTTTACCACTGGTTTAGGATGACACATCTCTCTATGGGGTGACAGTTAAACTCTCTGTGCCCCAATTTCCTCATCAGTAAAATGAAGATAATGTGAGTAGCTCCATCACAGGTTGTTGTGAGGATTAAATAAGGCCGCATATTTAGAGGAGTGTCAAGGACATATACGTGCTATAACATTTTTAAAACTCATTTTAATTCACATAGTTAAATGCCACCACAGGACAAGTGGTCATAGCAAAACATTCTGGATATTGGAAGATCTACTGACTTTCTGAGTTTGCTGCTGAGCCAGGATCTGGGCAACCTGACTGGTCCAAACTATACCAGCTCGTCCAGGTAGGAAGGAGAAAGAGAGAGATGGTGAACTGCCAGCGCCTGAGGATTCCTCATATGCACAGTTGAGTTGCTTCTCATGCAGGTATTAGGATTTGCTGTCGAAGGCAGAGGTGCATAGAGTTGCTATAACCATTGTGGCCAGTGGAATCAGTGGCATCAATTCTGCAGGCCCCACTGTACACCCGTGTCCTTTGCCTACAGCCCTTCAGTTCCTCTGACTAGAGGCAGGTCCCTCCTCCACTTCCTCACTGGGGCCTGGGCCATCCACTGATTCAGTCACTACATAGTGGGCACAGGTGACGTTGCACAGGTCACATCCAGGGTTTTAAGCGGCATTGCCTCTGTCTGCTTGCTTTCACGCCCTTGTCATTTGCTTGAGAAGAAGGAAACTGGCCAGCCTGCTGTCTAGGGAGGATGAAAGACAGCTAGACCTGATCCACAGTGAGCGTGTAGCTTAGACCACCCATTGGAGCCCAGCCTACATCAGCTGACTCCAGATACGCACAGAATAGGTGCTTCCTGGATATGCCCTTAACTGTTCATGGTTCTTACCTGGCAACCACTGCCTGTTCCACTCAAGGCAGCCCTCTCTTGTGAGTCACACATAGCATGGTTTTACGGTGCTTTTGACTGGGTTGAGCAGCTGGGGAGGTAGCTGGCTTGCAGGGA